AGGAGTGTGTGCGTGTGTGTGTATGTATATGTATGTGTGCATATATATACACACACACACATATATATACACACGCACATATATATATATCCTGTTAGTTCTGTCCCTCTATGTGTCACTTGCTAATACAGGAAGTTTATTAAGTAGTAACTCAAACAATCAAAAGGTCTCACAATAGGCCGTCTGCCGGCTGAGGAGCAAGAAGAGCCAGCCAGAGTTCCAAAACTGAAGAACTAGGAGTCCATGTTCGAGAGCAGGAAGCATCCAGCACAGGAGAAAGATGTAGGCTGGGAGGGTAGGCCCGTCTCTTGTCACATTTTTCTGCCTGCTTATAGTCCAGCTGTGTTGGCAGGTGATTGGATTGTGCCCACACAGATTAATGGTGGGTTGCCTTTCCCAGCCCACTGACTCAAATGATAATCATTTTTGGCAACACCCTCACAGACAAACCCAGGATCAACACTTTACATCCATCAATCCAATCAAGTTAACACTCAGTATTAACCTTCACAAGCACACCCCTTGCCAACTTGAACACATACATATCTCCTGAGATAATACATAATCTTAAAATACAGATAGTAGTAAGGTCATAGTTACCCCTAACGTAATACAACTATCCACCATATGACTGTTTCCTTCAGACCAGCTGAACATAGTGTGGCCGTGGCACACAGACTGAGAAGTGCAATTCAAGCTAAACATCCCCTTAGGGGACCAATCAATAATGATCCCATAGGAATCATTGCGCTGCACCTCGGACTGTTCTGCGTTGCAATCTTCCCAAACAAGTACATTCATTTTTTTCTGACCAGGTCCAATCCTGTTTACAAATAGGTTTTTGGGGGCAGTATGCCTCAATTATAGGAGCAGATTTATTTTGGCAAACCCTGAGATCAGAAAGCATGTATAACTGTGTCATAGAGTGATTACATCCAGGCATTATCATCAGGCAAGATTGATATTGAGGGGGTAGGCAACTAGTGGCCTTCCCCAAACAGATAGGTGGATGTTCAAATCCTAAAGAAATATTCATAACAGTTCCATCCTCATGTGGGTGAGATGTGCCTCTATCATCTGTAGGATCACGCATCCAAGAGCTATCATTAGTGTATACGTCCATTGCATATGGGGTCCAGCCAAGTTACAGGCCGTAGAAGTGGTGGATAAGATAAATATGCCCAATAAGTGTAATTGTTCTCTGTGCCAGCCCTTACTGAAGGAATACTCATGGCAGTGCTGATAATCGCTACCATACCTATCATTAAATTACTCATTGTGACTGGTTGTTTCGCTTTCCTCAGGTTTTCCCCATCATCTGTGACAGTTTCTTGATCTGTCCCCAGGTAGGTGGCTGTGTTCAACCGGTGTTGCTCGTGACAGTTGGGGTCCTCCTTAGTGTCAGTCTTAACGTGACTGAAACTGGGGTGTCCTCAGGTTCCTCCCAGAATCTCTTCTTTGGCATCTGGCTCATGATTAGGTTTCAGGTGTCTTGATGGTATCCAAATCATATGCTGGTTTTGACCTGGAGAACCACAAGCATAATCTCTACCCCATGTTATTATTTTACTTATTTCCCAACTTTTTGTTATCAGATATCTCCTCCAAACCAGTTATTCTACTTCTGTCTTTGCAGCTGGTTTATGTAGATTCTGTTCAGCTGCTGATAGCATCTGGCCTTTAGGCAGGCTCAAAAAATTTAAAGTCAATAATGCTAGATTCAATTGCATATGTGGGGTCCCATAGTCCCTATTTCTCCCCTTTTGGTTTTGCAATGGCTGTTTCAGGGAGAGATTTATTCTTTCCACTATGCCTTGTCCTTGAGAATTATATGGGATACCAGTAATATGTTTAATATTCCATATAGAGAAAAAAGTAGCTAGAGCTTGGCTACTATAGCCTGGGGCATTATCTGTTTTAATAGAAGCTGGAATGCCCATCACCGCAAAACATTGCAAAAGGTGACATTTAACACAGGAAGGAGACCCTCCTGATTGGCATGTAGCCCAGACAAAGTGAGAAAAGGTGTCCACACATACATGTACATAAGCTAGTCTCCCAAATGAGGAAACATGTGTGAGTGAAATCCATTTGCCAAAGAGAATTAGGGTATTAGGAAGGGTATTGTCCTCCTCCTGAAGTGATTTTTTTCCCAAGCTCTAATGCACACTCCTCTAAGCTGCTCTATGGCATCATCCTGCATAACAACTTGTGCACCTAAACCAGTGCAGCTACTGATGCCCAACAGTTAATCTGCAGTTATATTAATTTGTAGTTGGACCCAGGCATTGTGAGTAGCCTGAATGGAAGCTTCATCTGCCCACCAAGTTTTAAATGGTAGGAACTGAGCAGGAGATAGACAAGCTCAGGTAACAGCATCCCAGTCAGGAGGAATCATCCAACTGAAGACAGCAACATTCTGTAACAGTCCCATTACAAAAGGAGAACCTGGTCCATATTGATTAACAGCTTGTTTAAATTCTTTGAGTGATTTAAAAGGAAAAGGCTCAAATGTAGCTATAATATTTCCCTGTTCATCTGGGAGTTGTATTCTAACAGGGAACTGTCAAACCTCTGTGTCACCTTCATGTCTAGCTTGCTGGATTCCTGCCTGAATAGAAATGAGAGCGATTGCTCAAGGCGCTGCTCAAACAGCCACTGGGGCAACTACTTTTGACTCAGTGTCCTCTGAAACAGAAGGATCTGGAGGGTCAGGCCAGTCTTTTTCTTCAAACTAAAGAGGGGGTACAGAAGGGGAGGGATAAACCTCTCCTTCATTTGCCGCTTTAGTTTTAGCTTGCAAACAAATCTGCTCTGTCACCTCTTCTGTTACTTCGTTATATTCTCCTTCTTCCTCATCATCAGTGTGAAAATGTTCCAAGGTGGAATGAACCAGAGCTGACACTTGACCCATTGTTACCCTGATGCTTCTGAGCTCCGCTTCTTACTCACCACAGGGATTGCTTAAGAGTAGTCGAGTGTCCTCCAGCATAGCTCCACATTCTCCAAACACCACTGTAGTGACACTTCAACCTGGTTTCGAACCTCACGTATGGGCACCATGTGCTGGGACCAGCTCGGTCGTGGAGGCTCTAACCCAGCAGCGCTAGAGGAATTAAAGACAAACACACAGAAATATAGAATGCAGAGTGGGAATCAAGGGGCTGGCAGCCTTTAGAGCTGAGAGCCAGGAACAGAGTTTTCCCACACATTTATTGACAGCAAGCCAATGATAAGTGTTGTTTCTATAGATATAGATTAGCTAAAGGCATTGCTTACAGGAAACAAAGGGATGGGCTTTTGCTAGTTATCTGCAGCAGGAACATGTCCTTAAACCACAGAGCACTCATGCTATTGTTTGTGGTTTAGGACTGCCTTAAGCAGTTTTCCACCCTTGGCGGGCCAGGTGTTCCTTGCCCTCATTCCGGTAAACCAACAACCTTCAGCGTGGGCATCATAGCCATCAAGAGCATGTCACAGTGCTGCAGATATTTTGTTTATGGCCAGTTTGGGGGCCTGTTTATGGCCAGATTTGGGGGCCTCTTTCCAACACCAGTCCAAACTCAGACTCCTGGGATGATGCAATTCTCCGGACTTAGCCTCTCAAAGTGCTGGGGATTACGGGCATGAGCTACCACACACAGCCTTATACTGTGTTTCATACATTGTCCTGATTTTTCTGTTTCATCTATGACTTAATGAGTTTTCTTGCTATGAACCTAGACTTGCTGGTAAGACTTGAAAGCACATTCAAGTATATTTTGGGACAAGCTGTGACTGGCAAAGTTTTGAGCCTTGTGGAAAGAGCAACCTTACTGACCTGTCAGCTGTCAATTCCCCATCACTACTATCACTTCTGGAAGCACATTTTCCAAAACCCCTTTTCTCTATATGGTTTCTTTAGAGTTGCTTAACCAGAGGCCCTCCCATGAGATTGGGAAGTCAGAGTGGTGGATTCATGTACACTGACACCTGAACTAAAACACGTGGAATTAGGTGTGGACTGGAGAATCACCTGGAGACGTGCTGCAGGCAGCTGAGAACATCAACACCCCGACCCTGGTCTTCCCAGACAGGTCTGAGGATCATGACATGGTACTCAGCACATACCACCAGGGGCAGGTGCACTCTGACTTCTGTAGGAGCACCTGAGAATCCCTTGTCTCTAGTGGCTACTTCATGAATAACATACCATACGCTTCGAAAAGACTGTGGTTTAGACTCTAATTTAATCTACTTGAAGAATTTATCCTTGAAATACCGAGAATAGCTTCTCTTTTGCTGTATGAATTCCAATTATCCCATAACACAGACTCCTAAGGTGGACTTACACCTCTTCCTTATTCATTCAGGACAGGCATTGTCCCGTCTTTTCTGCTGGGGATGAGGGAAAAATAGGCTTAAGTTTCAGAGGAGCCTCCCTGACCCCCTCTACAAAAGTCTTCCAATGACTTTCAAAACCTGATTGAATTTAACAAATGCTCTTAGCAGATAGAGGCACCAGGAGGACCATCTGGGGTGGCTCAGCCTCACACATCTGCTTCCTTGGGGGTTTATGTTATGACTTGTAACACTGTGGGAGGGGTACCATAACCATGCTGACAGTAATAAGTTGCAAAATCTTCAGGCTGCAGGCTGCTGATGGTGAGAGTGAAATCTGTCCCAGATCCACTGCCACTGAACCTTGATGGGACCCCACTTTGCAAAGTGGATGCAGCATAGATCAGGAGCTTAGGGACTTTCCCCGGTTTCTGCTGATACCAGGCTAAATTATTGCTAATGCCCTGACTCGCCTGGCAAGTGATGGTGACTCTGTCTCCTACAGATGCAGACAGGGAGGATGGAGACTGGGTCAGCTGGATGTCACATCTGGCACCTGAGGTTGGAAACATAAAAACAAATATTCTTAATATTAATCATGTTACCAGAGGACTTCCCTGAAGTTTCAGCCAGAACTGAGCACATTGACGGAGTAAATTCCTAGTGTTTTCCTTCCTTACCTGGGAGCCAGAGCAGCAGGAGCCCCAGGAGCTGAGTGGGGACCCTCATGTCCATGCTGTGTCCTGACTGGGACTGACTCCTGCACAGGGTGTGACCAGCCTATTAAAAAGTCTTCAGGGCAGGAGGCTGTGCTCTGGGAACATGCAAATCAGCAGGGGATGGGGCAGGCTGGGCACAGCTGCAAGGCTGGCAGATCTCAGTAATTCAGCACAGGGGCAATGTCCCCAGGGTCCCAGGTCATACCAGGACAGCATAAATTTGCCTGGATGGAATATATTTCTCTCTGGGGCCACTGGTGTGACAAGAGATATTCTGGGGGAAAAAAAGTCAAACTTTAATACAAACCTAAGGACTACATGGAATAATATATTTTATACTTGTATTGGGAGTATACAGGAGAGTATAACCACTTGCAGGGAACATCTAATAAAGTCTTAGAGGGTGCATCTATCAGGTTTTCAAGTTACTTAAATGGATGCAGAGGTTAACAATCCCTTTTGCTATACTAACAACTCCTCTGTGATTGTCACCTGGTTCCCATTGTTTCATGTGAGAAAAACAGTCTTTATCAGAAGCATATTTAATACACTCCAAAATATTTGTAGTGACCTTAAACATTCGTTATTACCAGTATGTTTTCAAGAAAATTCCTGCAGATGCACAATAATAATGCTGTGATTCCTCAGTGTCTGTGCCACTCACGGATCTTCCATGATCTTGAGCTATAGGTCTCTTTAGCACCCAGGGTCTCACTGGGCAGCAGCTTTGTCTTGGTTTGCGGCTCCCCTTATTCTACCCACTTTTCTGCCCTTGGGTATTATTTCCCATAGGTCATCAGTGTGAAGGGTTGTCTAGTAATGCTAGATCTGTTTACTTCAGACAACATCTCTGTTTCTTCCTCCAACTGTTGAAGCCTGAATCAGGACAAACTTGAAACTCTGGGTCAATCTACACCCCAACATCAATTGCCTTCAAAGGAAGAAGACCAAGGTAATGTATCTTGCCTAATGCCCTGAGCTGCCTTTCCCACCAGAATATGCATGAGTGTTCAGGTACAGCTCTCAAAAAACCTGGCTTTCTGGAAAGCAGGGGAGGGAGAGACCCTGGGGAAAGGCCAGGTCAATGAACACTTTCTCTTCTGTGAGGGTGGCAACTACTCAGTAGGCTGCCCTGCACCATCAATGCCACTTTTCTCTTTGACTCTTTAGCAGTGAGTGGGGACAGCATCCTGACTCAGATGCCAGCCTCCTTGCCTCACATCCAGGAAAGAGAGTCTCCATCTCCTGCCAAGCCACCGCCCATGTACATGGAGAAATGCTTTGAATCTGGATAAAACTTGGAAACAGATTTGAACTGCTATACCTCACATGTCTGCCCCTGCCCAGGCATCCCAGCCTGGTTGTGCAGCAAGGAAACTGGAATCAACTACATCGACATGAGAATGCTAGAGCCTGGGCACTCCAGGGAGGATTACTCATGCATCACTAAAGGTGGCCAGACCACAGTGTTATAACCTGTACACAGTTCTCCTGCTGCTTTCCGAGACCCGAATTTCAAGGGAAGTTACTGGTAAACTGCTTGCTAAGATTTAGGTTCAGAGAAAAGCAGTTCTGGATTGCAATACACAATTTTGTGAGTGTGTGTGTGGAGGGGTGAATATAGCTGTCACTCTTGCAACCCTTTCCCTTTTCCCTTCACTGTACTTCTGCTGACGCCCCATGGCCATGTCTTTTCCTCACTGCTCTATCTGAAGCTAGAGAAGGCAGCCCTGCCTGCACACATGGCCTATCACAGCACCTGGAATGAACATCCTCTAGGAAAGCCCTCAATCAGTGAGGACAGGGGAGGTGTATACATACCCCAACTCCCTCCCTTCTTAGGTGATATAATACCAAGACATTTTCCCAAGTTTCCACATGGGCTTCGGTTCTATTCATCCTCAGTGGTAGCTTCTCACTGAGGACATTTTTGGTATCGCTACTCTTTTTCCTCTGTCACTGCCTTGTTTCCTCCCAGTATTTCCTGTGCATTGTAAATATGCTGCCTGCATGGGCATCATTGCCCCTGAAAGATCCAACCTTAGACAGTGGACAAACTCTCGTTCTTGGACAGTAGAGTCTGAATACTTGCCAATTCTTCTCCTTTTTTTTTTCATGCATAGGGATATTCAGAAAATTTAGGAAACACTTGAATTATCTGGGAAAGACAGCATCATCACAAAGGTCTTTATAATAGGGACAAGTGGGGGTAACAGTCAGAGAGGAACGGAGACAATGGAGAGGGATGCTTCAGTGATGGAGAAAGGGTCCAGGCAGCCCGGAACATGGGGCTATCTTTGAAGATGAAAAGCTGAGAATCAGATTCTCTCTCCTGGAGCTTCCAGAAGGAATATAGCACTACTGGTATCTTGATTTTAAATCTGAGACTTCTCACTGCCAGAACTGTATGATAATAAATTTGTGTTGTGTGAAGCCAGTAAGATTCTGGTAACTTGTTACAGCAGGAGTAGGAAACTAACACAAGGAGGGCAGGGGTGTCTTTTACCTCCTTAAGGGCATGGTCGCCCTCTGTTCTTCCGAATATTTTTATCTTGTCATTTTGTAGTGTCAGTTTTAACAAGACACACAGAAAATTTCACTGTGAAGATGGCTAGCAGAATCCTTGTTATGTTTAAATGCTCTTGGATAAATCCTTTGATTAACTCTCATACTCTCTGGGTATGTGATTAACTCTTGTATGCTCTGGATATGAGAAAAGTCAGGGAATATTTATTCATTTGTTTTCACATTAGGAGGAGAAGTCAGATTTACAAGACACAATCTGAGAGGGAAGGACTGGTCAGAGACATGAGGATGGTAGACAAGATGCAAAGTGTTCAGGGCAATGCAAGATGTGCCCCTGCCCTCAAATCTTAAAGAAAGACATTTAATATTTGTAAAGACTTTGGAAGTTTTGCTTTGTAGACAAAACTGCATTAGGCCCTGAGTTTATAATTGGGGTAATCATGGCAAGGTGCAGAAGTAGCAGGGAGCTTGTGTCGAGAATTTCACATCACCCTTCTGGCTTTGTCTCTTCTCTGAATTTAAAGGCCATTCAATCCTCTGTGAAACAAATGTGGCTATGTGGAAGCAACATATATAGGGTTATGCAGACCTGGGTTCCAAGCTCAGCCCTGACAATTGCTGACCATATATCTTTGTGCAAACCACCTCTGTTGAACTGTTTCAGCTATGGGCTCTGATGGACAGTTTACTCATCTGTGAAACGGATCACCAGGGGTATCAAGGGCTGCCCTGAGGGTTTCTCTAGTTGATACACCAGGAAATGCACCTGTATGTATGTATGTATGAAAAGAATACTTAGGGCCTCTTTTATGCATCTTGAGTATCTTATAATGAAGATTCTATAGGTGATACTACTAGTCAAATGTCATTTTTTTTGTATTATAATACTTTAAGTTCTGGGGTACATGTGCACAACTTGTAAGTTTGTTACATAGGTGTACATGTGCCACGTGGGTTTGCTGTACCCATCAACTCATCATTTACATAAGGCATCTGTGGTCAATTTTAGAATAAGTGTGACATGCTGCTGAGAAAAATGTATATTTTGTTGATTTGGGGAGGAGAATTCTGTATATGTCTATTAGGTCCACTTCGTCCAGAGCTGAGTTCAAGTCCTGGTTTGGTGTTTTTATGTTGTTGTTGTTTTGTTTTTGTTTTTTTGTTTTTTGCTTTTTGCTTTTTTGTTTTAGTTTTTTTCAGGCAGGTTCTTGCTCTCTTGCCCAGGCATGAGTGCAGTGATGGGGTCTCGGCTCACTGCAACCTCCACCTCCCAAGTTTAAGGGATTTTCCTGTCTCAACCTCCCAAGTAGCTTGGACTACAGGCACATGCCACCAGGTCCAGCAAATCTTTTGTATTTTTTAGTAGAGACGGGGTTTCATCGTGTTAGGCAAGATGTTCTCAATCTCCCGACCTCATGAACAGCCACCTTGGCCTCCCAAAGTGCTGGGATTACAGGTGTGAGCCACCAAACCCAGCCTCAGATGTCATTTTCAACTAAGAATTGTCAATATTTATTCTGTAACTAACAGATGCTCCTGTATACACTGTGGGGTTTCCTGTACAATGTTTCCATCATAAAAATCTTCTTCTAACCAATTATGTGTAACACTGGAGAATTGAAGGTGGAGAGAGCAAATCATCATACTACCTTTAGGCTGGACTTACCCTAAGCTCCATTTTTATTAGAATTATTGGGCTAATAATTACCAGAACTTTGGTGGCTTAAAGCAACAGAAATATATTCTCCTATAGTTCTGGAGGCCACAAGTCCAGCTCTAGTTTCAGGGGTCAAGAGCAGGCTGTCATCAGACCAAGCTTCTACAGGGACTCCAGGGGGAAGTCTACTTTTTGACTTCTAACTTTTGGTAGCTTCAGCTTTCTTTGGCTTGAGTCCACATCACTTCAGTCTCTGCCACTGTCTTCAAATTGCCGTCTCTTCTGCAGGCTTTGTTAAAATGTCTGTCTATGTCCATCTTATAAGGACATTACGATTGTCCTTATAAGATAGACATAGACAGACGTTTAACAAAGACAGCCCCTTTTAGGGCCCACCTGGTCAATAGAGGATAATCTGCCCATTTCATAACCCTTAATTTATATGTGCAAAGGCCCTTTTCCTATATAAGGTGTATGTATAGGCTCCATGGAATAGGACATGATCATTTGAGCATCATACTCAGCATTAAACCATTAAAGAACATACTGTCAGTGTTGGTACTATACACACATCACACACTCTTCTCCCTCTCTCCTCCTCTCTCTCTCTTCCTTGTGATTGTAAATCTCCTCACTTCCCTAAGCATATCCAGTACTACCTATGTCCGGGTTAGAGCGGCACACATAGGAAGGCCTTGCTGTGGTTTTGCTTAGAGACCTGCTCTATCCCTCATTATCATTCAGAAAGAAGACACAGCCAAAGACAGCCCTCAGCCATCTGGGAAGAAGCTGTCTTTACAGAGGGCAATCACGGGCTATCATTCTCTGGACCTCTCCTTGTCTTC